GAGGAGTTGGTGCAGCGACTCCGCGACACGGACGCCCTGGACCTCAGCGGCCCGGCCCGGGACTTCGCCCTCCGCCTCTGGAACAAGGTGCGGGGCGTGGCGGGCGGGCGGGGGGGGGGGGGGGGGGCGCGGGTTCCGATTCTGTAGGAGTCTTCGGTTCTACCTTCCCCCACCCCCCGAGATTTTTTGCTATAGGGCGCGTGCAGGGAGGGACAGAGACACAGAAACAGAGAAATCACCCTCGGGGGGGAGGTGGCCACGCTGCAGTCCCCTCTCCTCCATGCTCCTCTCTGGATTTTGGCCATACACGCACATGCGCCTGGCGTGAGTTTTAAGCCGCTGGGTCCGGGACTCGAACGGTGGCCGACTGCATGGGAGCCCAGCGATGTTACTGTTATTCATCTGCTGGTCCCAGTTTCTGCGTTTTTAACAAGTTTTCACGTGGTGATGTTGGCCGCAGACCACACTTTGAAAGTAGATGGTATCGGTAGGAAGCGTGAAACCGCAGAACGGACGGGGTAGTGGTCAGGAATGGCAGGGCCCAAGGCTCCTTGGAGGGGCCAGCAGGTGGCGGTGGGGATGGCGCTGGATTCCCACGTTGTTGACTGCGGCTCGAATCCCCGAGCGGTGACTTGAAAATCATTTCAGGGGCACCCAAAATCCCAGGAGGAGATTGAAAGAGAAGGGATTATGGCATGGCCACTCCCCCCTTGGGATTATTTTCTCACTTTCGCGCTCTCTCTTGCTCCGGTGAGCGCATATGCCCTATGGTTAAAACCCAAAAAGAAAGAAAAAAAGAGAAGGGGAGAAAGAGTAAAGACGGGATCCTGGAGGAGAAGACTGGTTTCTTCGTAGTCCTTTTATCTAACAGTCGCCTTTATTACAAATGGATGCTCCGTAAGTACTAGAGACCTCTAAAAAAAGTTATGGAAAACGTGTATTATAAAACCAAAAAAACTGGGACCAACAGGTGGCGTTGGGATTAAGGCGCTGGACACTCCCACATGGCCAACCACCATTTGAGTCCTGCCTAGTGGCTTGCTTTCTCACTTTCTCTCTTTCTGTCTCTCTGATCAAATTAAAATAAATAAATAGAACTTAAATGTAGATTTCAAAATATTTTAAAGTAATCTTAGGATTTTAAAATTGCTTCAAGAGAGTTTTGCTGTAGGGTACATGCACTTACTGGAGAGACCGAGAACCACAGAGACAGAAAGTGAGAAATCAGCCCCCTGAGGGGGATGGCCATATTGCAATCCCTTTCCCTCCATTCCTACACGCCCCCGGTGTGAGTTTCAAGCCACCGGGTCCAGGACTCGAACCATGATCAACCACGCGGGAGTTCAGTGCCTTAACCACTATGCCACCTGCTGGCCCCTGTTTTTATGTTGTAATTTTTGCCATAGAGTGTATACACTGGCTGGAGAGAGACAGTGAGAAAAAGTGAGAAACCACCCCCCGGAGTAGATGGCCATGCAGCAGTTCCTACTCCTCTGTTTGCCTCCTGAGATTTTGTTCGGGCATCCACGCACATGCACCCAGCATGGTATTCAAGCTGCCAGGTCCAGGACTCAGACTGCAGTCATCCATGTAATTTTTGCCATAGAGTGTATACACTGGCTGGAGAGAGACAGTGAGAAAAAGTGAGAAACCACCCCCCGGAGTAGATGGCCATGCAGCAGTTCCTACTCCTCTGTTTGCCTCCTGAGATTTTGTTCGGGCATCCACGCACATGCACCCAGCATGGTATTCAAGCTGCCAGGTCCAGGACTCAGACTGCAGTCATCCATGTGGGAGTCTAGTCCCTTAACCATCACGCCACTTGCTGACACTAAAATTGTATTTTAATTCTATTTCCCATAAACTTTTTCTCCTAAAGTTTACTTTTTTTCTTCCATGAGTGAGAGAGACAGAAATAGACAAGATCCCCAACAAGGGTTTTTTTCTTTAGGGCATGTGTGCCCACATGCATGCACGTGTGAGAGAGAGACAGTGAGAGGGAAAGTGAGAAATCACCTCCCAGTGGGGAATGTCTATGCTGCAATCTCTTTTCTTTTTTGGGGGGAGAGGTTTTTGCTATAGGGCACATGCGCTCGCCAGAGAGACAGACAGAGAGACAGAAAGCGAGAAATCAACCCCCCATGGGGGATGGCCATGCTGCAATCCCTTCTCCTTCATTCTCCTCTTGGGGTCTTGGGCATGCACGCACATGCTCCTGGCATGAGTTAAAGCCACCGGGTCCGGGACTTGAATTGCAGTCAACTACAGAGGACCCCAGCGATTTAGCCATTACTCCAACTGCTGATCCCAATGCGATCTCTTCTCTTGGAATCTTGGGCATGCATGCACATGCACCTAGCATTCTTTCCTTTCTTTCTTTCTTTTTAGAATTATTTTAGTTAACTTTATTTATTTTAATTTGACCAGAAAGGGACAGAGAGAGAGGAAAAGTTAGAAAGCATGCCACCAGGCCTGAGACTTGAACCACAGTCAGCCATGTGGGAGTCCAGTGCCCTTAACCACTGCACCACTGCTGACCCCCTGGCATTATTTTCAAGCTACCAGTCCAGGACTTGAACTATGGTCTGCCATGTGAGAGTCCAGCGAGGTAATTGCTGTACCATCTGCTGCCCATGCCCCCAACAAGGTCTTTAAAAAATATATTGTGCTAGGGAACCAGCAGTTAGCGTAATGGCTATGTCGCTGGACTCCCACGTAGTCGACCGCGGTTTGTGTCCCGGACCCGGTGGCTTAAAAAAACTCACGCCGGGCGCGTGTGCGTGCGTGCCCAAGATCCCGAGAGGAGAATGGAGGAGAAGGGATTGCGGCGTGACCATCCCCCCTGGGGGGTGATTTCTC